AAATACTTTGAAACTATAAAACCTTTGAAACTAATTTAACCTGAAAATATAAATATAATATATAATGAATGTTAATATTTATTTTCTGGTATATTCATATGTGTGTTCAGAAATAATTTGCATGACTCTATACAACATTCTCTCATACAATATACATTTAATAAAAAGAATTCAGGTTTTTCATAGTATTTTTTTGCATTAGGGACTGATTTCTCCAAAAAAAAAAAAAACCTAACTTGTATTGCCCAGAAATCTGCAAATTACTTAATGCATATTTAATTGTAAAAATAAATATTTAAGGGTGCATATTTAAGAAATGTTTAATATAAAAAAATGACCAAAAATAGGCAAATAACTATTCCCAATGCGTCCCCTATTCATCTGCAGTGCCATGCTTTAATTAATGCATATATATTTTTCATGAGTAAACCTCGAGAGTCTCCTCGGCGGTGCAGCCCGGCTGCTGCTGTAAGCGTCCCGTCTTCAGCGCATCAATGTATTCATCACATTTCTCATATCCAGCATCCAGAAGCTCCTGCTTGGCCTTCAGGAGCCCCTGACCAGGAGTCACGTCCCCGATGCCGATGGAGAAACCACGATTTGCTAAAACACACCACAGAGGAACACCGTTATACACACATACCCACACACACACACACACCCACCCATCCACCCACACACACACACCCACACCCACCCATACACCCATACACCCACCCACCCACACGCACGCGCGCGCACACACACACACAGCAGATGAACATCATTACACACACAGACAGACTCACAAAGGTAGACGGGCGCCAGGCGGGCGAGGCGGGACATGGCATCTGCCGCCTCCTGCTGCCCCCAGTCCCGCAGCAGGATGTAGAAGATGTTGTTCTTGGATCCGGAACCCAGAGTGCCTTTATCCATACTGCCACACATCAGCTCACTGTTGTGGATCACCACGACTGCATACAAGTTCACGTTATTAATTAATAGTAATTATTTCTGAAGTTTTACTGGATTTTACAATGAGCAGAACAACATTTCAGATGTAAATGTAGGAAATGCTGTAAACTCGGTTAATGCAAAGTCCATGAAACAGAGTTACACTCACCGGCCACTTTATTAGGTACACCTGTTCATTAACGTAAATTTCTAATCAGCCAATCACATGGCAGCAACTCAGTGCATTTAGGCATGTAGACATGATCAAGATGATCTGCTGCAGTTCAGAGTGAGCATCAGAATGGGGAAGAAAGGGGATTTAAGAGACTTTGAACGTGGCATGGTTGTTGCTGCCAGACGGGCTGCTCTGAGTATTTTTAGAAACTGCTGATCTACTGGGATTTTCACGCACAACCATCTCTAGGGTTTACAGAGAATGCTCTGACAAAGAGGAAATATCCAGTGAGCGGCAGTTCTGTGGGCGCAAATGCCTTGTTGATGAGGTCAGAGGAGAATGGCCAGACTGGTTCCAGCTGATAGAAAGGCAACAGTAACTCAAATAAGCACTCGCTACAACCGAGCTCTGCAGAAGAGCATCTCTGAACACACAACACGTCCAACCTTGAGGCGGATGGCTACAGCAGCAGAAGAGCACACCGGGTGCCGCTCCTGTCAGCTAAGAACAGGAAACTGAGGCTACAATTCACACAGACTCACCAAAACTGGACAATAGAAGATTGGAGAAACGTTGCTGCTCTGATCTCCATTTCTGCTGACACATTCAGATGCTCGACTCACAATTTGGCCTCAACAACATGAAAGCATGGATCATCCTGCCTTGTATCAGCGGTTCAGGCTGGTGGTGGTGGTGTAATGGTGTGGGGGAGATTTTCTTTGGGTCCATTAGTACCAATTGAGCATCAACGCCACAGCCTACCTGAGTATTGCTGCTGACCATGTCCATCCCTTTATGAGCACAGTGTCTCCATCTTCTGATGGCTACTTCCAGCAGGATAACACAGCATGTCATCTCAGACTGGTTTCTTATACATGACGATGAGTTCACTGCACTCAAATGGCCTCCACAGTCACCAGAGCTCAATCCAATAGAGCAGCTTTGGGATGTGGTGGAACGGGAGATTGGCATCATGGATGTGCAGCCGACAAATCTGCAGCAACTGTGTGATGCTATCATGACAATATGGAGCAAAATCTCTGAGGAATATTTCCAGCAGCTTGTTGAATCTCTGCCATGAAGGATTAAGGCAGTTGTAAAGGCAAAAGGGGTCCAACCTGATACTTATAAGGTGTACCTAATAAAGTGGCCGGTGAGTGTATATATGATCAGCATGTCAAAAACTAAATCAGTTTATGTGTGCATGTGTCTTTTTATGTGCATTTTAATGCTATTTTTTCATGTAAATAGCTGTATAGAAACAAATGTAAGCACGTGTCTGTCACTCACAGGAGTCATTAGCACACAGATCCTCCCCTTTACCGCAGTATTGTTTGCCTTTGGTGCGCAGGTTGGCCATTACCGGACAGCTTTTACTGGGCTTGAGGATCAAGCTGAAGATCTGCTTCCCCGTCCACAACCGGATCGGCTGAAACAACACAATCATGCAGTTATTACAAGGAGACGACGTCAGAAAAACCTCCACACAAAGACAGCAGCAATTTAACAGCTGCCTCTCCAGTACAGAATCATCTATTGACTAGAATAACTTCAGGAGGAAGAGCCTGTACAGCATTTATGAGGAGAGAAATCATTACGTTCAGTCATTTCACCCTCAGTCAGAGTCAATTCACACTAGGGCTGCACTATATATCGGTTCAGCATCGCAATAATCACATCGCAGGACGTGCAATGTGGAGTCAGGATTATAGTTGAGCAGGTACAACAGTGATAACCAACCCCCAGGCTGACGATCAATTGTTACCAGGCTGCACCAGAAATCATTAATTATTTCTGTTTTATTTATTATCCGAGTCAGAAAGATCTTTTATTAAAAAAAAAAGGCTTTTATTTTGAAGAATTATATACTCAAGGTCACATCTTGGGTCACTTGATCACCCAAATTTAACCAAAAAGCAGCAAAATGAGTAAGAAACAGACGTCTTTGGAAAGTTTCTTTGCTAAGGTGAAAAGGCCCAGTGAAGGACCCACGAACTGCCGAGGAATAGATCCGATCAGCTTTATACTTTGTATGGAATATACACATTTCGGTAGACTAATCATCTCAAGCAAACACAGAACACCCATAAAAAACTTGTGTCATAGTTACAGCAATGTGTTGTTAGCTTGTCATCCTCTGAGGACCACGTGCACCCCTGGGCCGCAGTAAAATTGTCAAGCGCTGACCAGTCCGTGGTGATAAAAATGTTGGGGAGCACTCATTTTTTGTTTAACCATAATATAGAAAGTGAAAGTCTATTAATTGCTTGTGTTTTAAAGCCTGCTTAAACATTTTAATTAAGTTTAAAGCATTTGGGCACAAGGAAAATTACAATTGTAGCTTTAGCAAAGATTAATTGTATTTAGTTATTTACACAATGTAGAATATACAGCTTTATTGTACATTTGATGATTTGGTATCACGTTATTTTGGTGGTCCCTTTAAAGCATTTTGCTGAATTTAAGTTACATTGCATATAAATGCCAACTAATTCTCATTAGATTACAAGTAGACTGTTAGGGTTAATGTTTGGGTACTTTCACACCTACACTTTTGTTTGGGAACGTGTCTCGTTTGCCCAGTTAGCGCGGTTCGTTTGGCATATGTGAACAGGGCAATCGCGCTCTGTTCCGCGCCAAAGTAATCGCTCCGAGATCGCTTGAATGAGGTGGTCTCGGCTCGATTGAAATGAACCCTGGAGCGGTTCGATTACAGTCAGAAAGCGATCCGATCCGAGCGCGGTTATATCACAGTGTTTTATGGATATGTAATAGGCATACGGCGATATGAAGAGAGAATTATGAGTAGGGCGGGAAGTTTCGCGAGTCTCCAGATGCCCGCAAACGAGTGATGATCTCCCGGTAATCTCGCGTCTCCCTCCCGGTCCTCAAATAGGCATCGTCGCGCACCCTTCACCCCTCCCTACCGCATCTCTCCTCAGACACATCGCACACTCGCGCACCCTGTCAACCACCACCTCTCCTGACAGCTGAGCGGGACGCTGCAAAATAAACCCTGACACTCTGACCAATGTGAGTTTACTTGCATGTGACTTGTTTTAGCTCTTTTGGTCCGATTAGAAACTTTGCAGTGTGAAAGCGAACTGCTCCAAGAGCAAAGAGCAACAATGTAACAATTGTAATCTCTGCTTCGGAACAACTGAATCCATTCACAGGTGTGAAAGCAGCCTTAGTTGACATGTACTTGCAAAGTTTCTTATAGTCAGTGAAATGTGTTGAAGGAGCAGTATCAGCAGATATTAAGCAGACAGACTACTAATGCTCAAACTAAAAGTAATTGCCATGTATCTGCAATGCAACTTTTAGTCAACAGAATGTGCAATAGGGACCATCAAAATAAAGTGCTACCAAATATTTTATTTCTGTATCACTTGATCTATGTGTCTCTGCTTGTAATTTGTTGATTATATTATATGCACTCCCCTACAAAATTATCTTAATCTAAAATCATTAAGCTATCTGAACAAAAATCGCAATAGAGAGAGAGAGAGAGAGAGAGAGAGAGAGAGAGAGAGAGACAGAGAGAGAGAGAGAGAGAGAGAGCGAGAGAGAGAGAGAGCGAGAGAGAGAAACGAGCTGTTCAATTCTGGCTGCACCTACATCAGCCTGACCCCAAGTCTGTCCAATATAAGGCCCTTCTGGCCAATGAAGAACACACTGGTATCTGAACATCTGAAGGGACCTCAAACCGAATCAGTCCCTAAACAAAACCTTCACAAACCCATTGGCAAAACATTCAAATATAACTATGATTAAAAACTAAAAACTGAAATCAACCTCCAAACTAATCTTTAATGTTATTCGTCCCTAAACAGAACCACACAGTTGACAAATTATTTATCATTAAAACAATTACAAGAAAAACCCATTCTTTCTAAATATCGCCTCTGTGATCAGGATCTGGAAATAAAAAAGGGCAAACAAAAAAAATCCTGGACCCCTAAAGAACAGAATATGTAAACAGTGCGACAAATGAAATAGAGGATGAAACACACTTCCTTCTGTTCTGCCCTAAATACACCACGACTAGAGAAATATTTTCCCCCAATTTAAAACATTGACTAATTCATTTTTCATCTAAATGACTCAGATAAACTTTACCATGTACTCGGAGAGGGTGAATTGACGTTTAGGCTAGCTGCAAAATATGTATACACCCTACACAACATAAGAAATGGTTAATGTATCTTATTTAAATAATCTAGACTTCATTTATTTATTATTATTATTTTATTATTATTATTATTATTATTATTTATCAAATGTATTATCTGTTTGTTTGTTTTTTTACATTTATTTACAATATCTACTGTATTCTTATTTTTTTATTTGATGTTCATATATTACATATTTAAAATGCTTTGGCTATACTGTATAAAAGTCATGCCAATAAAGCAACTTGAACTATTTGTGCATGCATTTATTAAAATATTATTTGTGCATTTTGTTTTTTTCCATACTGCATGAATGAGTTGGCCCCTCACAAATCTCTCTTTTGCATTAATATTTTCTACAGGAAGCTCTACAATATTATATTTGTGCATATACATTAGATTAGTCCGTACTGAAGCCAAATCTGGAGCTTATCTAACAAAATAACTCATGATAGCGGTGCAAAAATTACTAGCTCAAATTTATATGTTAGGGATAAATATTAAATAAATGTTTTGTTTTTTAAAAAAATAATAATAATAATAGTAATATAATTGCAATATTTTACATCAATTTAAAATGTACAATCTTTCTATTTATAAAGATGCCCGGTGACTGAAATATTATTCTAATAAAAATATGTTTAATGAACCCGTTTAGTTTAAACGCATCAAAATACATGATCTTTATGACAAAAATGTAAATTCCAAAATAGTGTGTGAAAAAAGCAATTATATCTGTGTATCCATTTGCTTAATTTCTTATTTGCTTAATTGTAATTCGTGTAATGTTTGTAATACTTGACAAATCATGGCAATGAAGCTCATGTGAACTGAACACAGACTTGCCAACACATGGAGTGTCCCATATTCCACACCCACCCATATTTCCACAACTCTCTCCTTTTATCATCTATAGAGATATCCCATAATATCCATAGCCCAATCAAGTTATGAAAAATCAATTTTAGTGCATTTTAGTCAAGTTGCCAGATGAAGCTCAGCACCTCACACAATTGAGGAAATATTCATATCTCAAAGCATGCTTTACCTCAATCTGGCAACATAACCCAGTTATGATGTTGATTTCTACACTGGGTGGTAGATGCAGGTGTAGGAACTCATCGGCATATTGCAGCGGTCAACACGAGTTGAATCTGAAATCTTGGGCATCTCCAATTGTCTCATTCATTGAACTAGCTTGAGGGCTTATACCATCAGGATAACAGAGTGCCAATTGATTTCGGGCTCCTCTGACCAGCACTTCTGGTACCCTTCGGCTAACTAGCCAATGATTAATTAAATCAATTAAATTAAAAACAATGGCCCTTACAGGATCTTCAGCGGAAACCTTTTCACGAGACTTTTAAATTACTCCTGGTCATGTGCTCGCCTATGGCACATCCTGCCAGATGCACAATTTCGTAGAGACAAAGAAATCTCTAGAAACATTAATGCATATGAATGACAATCTCTTAAAATGTTAGAACTAAGGCAGATGTATCTTTGAATAACATGCCATAATGTTCCTTATATGCTGTTTATTCCAATCAACCAGGTTAATCAATGTGTTGTTTGAACCCTTATAACAGAGTCAAATGATCTGTATATGTCTGAAATGTATGATGTCTGGTATTGAACGAAAGCTAGTGACATTTGCAGTACGTTGGTGTAAATGAAAAACTAGTAGTACAAACAGTTTTCTTCTTGTAACATTTGATGTAAGATAGTTTCAATCTTGCAAGAGTTCAACCATGTGAAATCTACATGCAGTCTGTTAATCATTGACCTTTCCTACTTCGGTACGGGGCGTGGCCCCGCCCTTCATGGCAGCTGCTCATTGGCAGACAGTGCCATGGGGACAAACCAGACCAGGTCACTTAAAAACGCCCTGCGACAAAGAAACTTTGCTTTTTGCATCAGCTATCTTACGCATGCTTTTGCTCTCTGCCCTCTCTCGCCTGCCCAGACACCGAGCCGCCACGCGATTGGGTCACTACGAACTTCCACGCAAATCTCTTAAGTTTCAGGACCGCCGAAACTGCATGAACTTCCGCAAACCGACTCTCAGTAGTCCGTCATTTCGGTAACCCAGGAAAACAGCCATTCACGAGCATGTGAATCCCAAAGACGTCATTAAAGCAAGAAACCACCCAATCAGGAGCACCGTGTTTCCCCAAGGCCAGCCGGCGAGGGAGATTCGACTTTAGCAAAAAGGGCGCAAGTAACACAAACTAATGTTGTCTCTTGCTGATCTTGTGCAGACTAATCGTAAGCAGTTAAAGATAAGATAAACCTCTGCTTTTGTGGTTTCTCAGGTGTTATTCTAAGATCTTGCAAGAAGTATTAGAATTAATTTGGGACGTTGTCAACTCATTTTGCATCCTCTGAACTGCCTCTGTGTGTGTGTGTGAATGTGTGTGTGCGTTTTTTTTGTTGTTTGCTTATTACGTAGTTAGTTTCATGTATCGTAGTGTAGCTCAATAAATCTTTATACTCATTTTGTAAGAATTGTGTTCTTGTTTATGTGCTTCTAAGTCATTGCCTCGAGCTGTAGATCTTGTTACCTTGCTAAAAGTTAACCCAATACTGTGTTATGTTATTATCGTTGGCCACGTAAATAATATTAACAAGATTGGTAAGATACGATGTCTTCTATTTGCGGGACAAATGGTAGATAAAGTGTGAATCTTTTGATCTGATTCAATCTGACTCAATTGAGTCGAATCAATGATTCGAATTATCAAGATTGGGTTCATTGAAATGAGCTAAAAAAACCCTGATCGATATTAAACGGTAGGTTGATCCCCTACACAGGATTTATAATACTTATAAATACTAATCGCTAATACTAATTCACTGTAATTAGTATTAATTAACAATGACCATTGTGTTTAAATTAAAAAGACACACACACAGGCCCGTCACAATATCTATATTTTGTTGTAGGATATATTGTGAAAAATGATATTATTGTCATTTTAAGACACTCAATATATAATGCCAGAATGACAATTTTATTTTATTATTAATTCAATTCTAGTCATTTTAACAGTTTAATAATCAGGTATTGGAGTCAGAATGTGTAAACGCAGGTCCTAAATGAATAATAATAAATGTTAACAAAGGTAAAGAGTAACAGAGGCTGTGATATCTGCTACCAGATCTATTTTCAGCTGTCAGACACACTCATGAGAATATACTATAGTAATTTATAGTAAATACTACAGTGCTTAACCATACTGACAGCTGCAATAGAGAAAGCGATGTTGAGCAATCAGCTCAAATGTTGCTGGAATTGGTGTTTATGTATGGGCGATATATATATACTGCATCACCAGACATGATTGAGGTCATGTCCATGAGATGTACGATAAGTCCATATATTGATTATTGTGACTGGTCCACACACACACACTGAAGGTCACTCTGACAATCACCTTGAGGATGGCAGGATGAGGGAGGGAAATCTTGATTTTCTCATCTTTCCCCACCAGGATTGAAGCGACGATCTGACAGGCTTTGGTTCGGTCGAAGAACGTGTCTTTGAGTGTGAGCAGATACGCACCTGTTTCACAACACAGAAAACACACCAGAACATGAGCAGCTGGACTGCCCCATCTACAGGCCGCACATCACAAAAGCATCAAATCCAAGATCATTCATTCATCCACAAGCCGTTTAAATAAAATAATACAATAGATGGTCGCACTTTACAATAAGGTTGTATTAGTTAAGACAAGGCAAGTTTATATAGCACATTTTATACACAGTGGCAATTCAAAGTGCTTTACATAAACAAGAATAAAAGAAACAAGTAAAAAAGGATGATAATGCATTTACTAACATGAATAAACAATGAACAATACATTTATTACACTATCTGTTCATGTTAGTTAAATAAAATACAGTTGTTTATTGTTAGTTCATGCTAACTTACGGTGCATTAGTTAATGCTGTCAAGCAAGGATGTGGATGTTAATAATGCATCAGTAAATGTTGAACTATAAGTGTTGTTCATAAGTTAGTTAGTTGTTGTTGGTAAATGCAATGTGTGCACTGACTAAACCGTCTTGTAAAGTGCGAGCCAGATTTTTAATAAAATATTAATGCATATTTGGAGTAAATCTGCAGCAAGATCTGACATTTTAGGGCTCAGGAGATGAGAAAAGCAGCATCTAAACATCACTCCGACATTCAGATCGAAGCTTTCTGATAAATACTAAACACCAAACTACAAAAAAACCCTTGTTCAAATGTAAGTGCTCTTAATACACGTCATATAATATACTTTGCATTGCTTGAACGACTTGATGACTTCTTGGTCAAGTCACCCTCATAAATAAGATCTTGATTTTTTTTTTACCTGGTTAAATAGACGAATTATGGGTTTTAGACATTCAGGATGTAGCGCTATTTGGCTAATAAACTGGGTTGGGCGCCAGGGGTTAAAAAACAAAACAAAAAAAAAAAAACACTAAAGTTTCTCAAATAATTCAATTAAATAAAAAATTAAGCTTCACCAAATTCATGATTTAATCAAGTAAACCAAAAATCAAATATTCAATCAGAACAAACAAATCAAAATATTATTAAAACAAAAAGCAAAAAAGCAAACAAGCTTTAACCTCAACACATTTTAGTTAAACTCATCTTAACAAAACTAACTTAAATTTCCAGGCCCAGGCACAATACCTATTAATTACCTTTTACAAAACAGTCAACTGGTGATAAATTAACCAACCATAAAGATATCAGCAAATCATTTCAGAATATACAAAAATCAATATTAGGGGTGTCACGATTTAGACTTTTAATCGAAATCGATCGAAATTTATGCTCAATTTTGATTATCGAATCCAAAAATAGAATCGTCGATGCTGCCACGCCCCCATGTCACGTCAGCTTGGCTTGCCAAGCAGGAAAAAACAGGCTTGTTGAAGTGCTTGTTAAACTGTGCAGACGCAGGAGACCCGTCGACAGAGCTTAAACCCTCTCCTCTTTCAATGAAGTCGCCGGTGTGGAAGCATTTTGGATTTCCAGTGAGTTATGTTGACAACGTTCGTGTTGTCGACAAAAAAAAAACACAGTTTTGCAAGCTCTGCTATGTACGTATTAGGGTTCGTCCGATAGACAACACCGGCATCGCGATCCTCCGCCCGCCCCCGTTGCAAATCCGCTCGCGAAAAGTACACACTCAGGCCCTGTTTACACTGTCTGTGTTTTTAAATGGCATTTTAGAACGACAACGATTTGACATCCACAGTGGCGTGTAGCATTTCTGAGCAGCCTCCTTCCTCTCTACCTCTGAAAATGCACATCACGTGACCACACACACACAGACGCACACACAGCCATGCGCTCGAGACAGCAGGTCCAGGCAGTCAGAGGACTGCTTCAATCTTTCACTCACTTGTACTTTGTCATTTTAGTGAACACCTCAGATGCTGTTGGCTGGTTCCTGTTGGTTGTGCGTCTTTTTTACCGACGCCATTATAACGACACAGATCACTGCCTATTCACGAGTCCCGCAGAAAAAGTGATTGACAGGTGGTAATTATGTGTGTATCTTGCCTTTATTCATTTACTGTATGATTTGTTTATGGGTAAAACAGACCATGCAGGTCAGGTAGTTTAAACGGTAGGCTACAAATAACTAATTGGTCATTAATTAATTAATTAATTAATTATTCATAATCGAATCGAATCATGCCTTTAGAATCGAAAATGTAATCGAATTGAGGATTTGGAGGATCGTGACACCCTTAATCAATATTAATCAAAATGTACAGACTAACAAAATAATAATAATAATATTTCAAGGCCAAACTCATCACACATCATTGAACTTATAAAACTCAATTTTACACTTCTTTACATAGTAGATTTTCCATTTGTGCACGCTGAAGCAATCATGAACTCAATGCACTCTTCAATGCGCGCGCAGCGAGGTTGCAGAAAAAAAACGGGAGCGCTAGCATTTACAGTGAGGGAATGGCATCCGATGTGGTACAGAGTTTGTTGTTGTATTAGAAATAGGTTATATTGATTACATATTATATATATTATTTACATAATGCTTTCAGCGTATTATAACAGCTCGTCACCCAGTGATTAGCACAATGATTCTGCAAAAAATTAACGTTAAAGTGAGCGGCGTTCATCTGACAGCTCCATTTGCGATAGCACCCTCATAATGGATATTGGATAAGACGAAATGACCAAGCATCCAGCCCCAAATATATAATCTCAATGAAGCTCCAAGTGATTTTACAAGAGAGAAGTTAAAGGTCTACAAGCCTTTGGATGCCTACAATATTGTTCTGTGTGGTCATGTATAAATAATGCTCCATCATGACCAGATTCAAAACTTTGTAGTGCTAAAAACCGAGATTCTGCTTAGCCAAAGACAAGGAAAGAAGACGGAGCTGTACAAGGCCTGGGTGATCATCAACAAGCAGAACAACTGCACCTGTATGGTAGGGTATGTGGATGTACATGTTTACATTTCCTTCTGAGCATTCAGTGTCGCAGTTTAATCCACCATGTTTAAATGTTTTTGCTCAAAGCATTTCTGCAATCAAAAACCAGTGATGTGTCTTATTCAGCATAGCGTGAACTTACCTGATATGACATGAAAACTGCAGAGTCCAGCATTTCTAATTAGGTCCCCACTCCATTCAGCTCTTATGATGGCAGTTAGCATTAAAAGCAGTGTAGGTAGATGGGTGTAGGGTAAAATTTAAGTGTTCAATTTCTAACTTTCAATTTTGGCATCCTACTGCAGAAACAAGACGTGTTTTCTAATGCAACCTTTTTCTAATGCAGTCTTTTTTTGCAACCGGTATGCTAGGTTGAACCCGTGTGACGTCATATGTGACGTAGGTTTTTTATTCCCCTATAAAGTAATGACTAAAATAAAAATAAATCTTCTGTCTCACCTGTGAGGAAGTCCTGTATGGCTGCGATCAGTGGCTCGCCGTTTCTTGGAGTGACCAGATTAGCTTTGGTCTGTGATTAAAACAGGATTCATTAGATGTAGCATAATGATCAGACGCGAAGGTGTGCAGAAGCTGCCCTTAATAGTCCACCAACTAGGGATGCAAAGATGAACTGCAAATTAATTCATATTTGTGACTACTGGATAACTACACCAAAGGTTGCAATCAAACATGCCATCTTATTAGGCAGCCAGTGCTGACATATAGAGCAAATGCTTCCAAAGATTAACATTTGGGGTGTGTCATTTTTATCTATACCATTATATATACACTCACTGGCCACTTTATTAGGTACACCTTACTAGTATCAGGTTGGACCCCCTTTTGCCTTCAGAACTGCCCTAATCCTTCATGGCAGAGATTCAACAAGCTACTGGAAATATTCCTCAGAGATTTTGCTCCATATTGACATGATAGCATCAGTTTCCTGTTCTTAGCGGACAGGTGTACCTAATAAAGTGGCCAGTGAGTGTGTGTGAGTGTGTGTGTGTGTAATGTACACACGTAAATGTGTTCTTAGCTGACAGGTGTACCTAATGAAGTGGCCAGTGTGCGTGTGCGTGTGCGTGTGTGTGTAATGTACACGCGTAAATGTGTTCTTAGCTGACAGGTGTAGCTAATAAAGTGGCCAG